GTCGATTGTGTCTTCAAGTCTTCAAACATTCTCAAGTCTTCAAACAATCGACTTGAGAATGGTCCAGGACGGACCGAAACGTCGTCGTCCCTTCAACTTCTAGTGTGTGGTCTGGTCAACATACTTCAGCCTCGTTATTGTGACTCATCGCCTGCAAAATGTTACATTTGAAAGACGTGTCCCGACAAACGATAATGATGGGAATTTCCAGGTGAGTGATAGCGGGTCTTATTTGTTTTTTCAGCTCGTGATAACAGGAATAATTTTCCCCGTTAACAGAAGGTGAAGACCTGTTTTAAAACAGAATCCATAAAAGGATATAATGGGGGAAAATACTTCCCTTCAAAGCAATAACGGGATAAAATGTTTCCCTTTAAAGTTATAACCTGCACGACATTTCCCAAAGCACTAACGGGATAAAGATTACCGTTAAAATGATAACGGAAAGAAAGAAAAAAAAATAGTTCCCCCCCTCTTACAAAGTGATAACTAACGACACTGTGCCCACATTCTCCTGGCGAGACTTACCGAGCCACATGAAGAAGAAGGTGCCAGGGGTGACGAGGCCGTAGAAGACGTAGTCGAAGACGGAGGAGAAGGCCCCCACCAGCGCCAGCACGTTGTCCGACACCTTCAGTCCCGCGCTCAGCACCGGCACCGCCACCAGCGACCCTGGCGGAGGAACCGCACAGATGGCGGGGTCATCACAGGTCCCTCTTGAACGTCAGTTTATTATTTTTTTGAAGCCACTAAAGTCACTCCTTATAGAGATTACTTCGTGATGAGATGTTGTGGAGGTCACGTCAGGTTGCTAAAGGTCATGTCAGGTCACATGCCAGGTCCCCGAAGGACCCCGATAAATTACCCAGTCGTCGATACACACACACATAAGATAACTAATGGGCCGGGAGATGGACCATTGCCCAATTAGAGGGAGTAATGTTGCAATAACTGTTGGTAATATAAATATTGACGACAAACGGGGGTGTCAACAACCTTTTTTTTTATTATTATTATTTTCTACCACAAACGTGGCCACACATTTACAATGCTAACCAGCATATATACATTTTCTTCTGTCCTCCATGGACAGGGTTAGAGAAGTGTTAAACATATAGTTCAAGGGTTTATTGAACAATCAACCACAGATGGTGATTCGGTGCTTTTAAAATGCTGGTAGGTAGACCAGGTAGACCAGGTAGAAGGTGCCATAGACCAGATAGAAGGTGCCATAGACCAGGTAGAAGGTGCCATAGACCAGGTAGAAGGTACCATAGACCAGGTAGAAGGTGCCATAGACCAGGTAGAAGGTGCCATAGACCAGATAAAAGGTACCATAGACCAGGTAGAAGGTGCCATAGACCAGATAAAAGGTACCATAGACCAGGTAGAAGGTGCCATAGCCCAGGGGAGTTTGGGAACGTGCAAATACCAGCGGAAGAAGTAAAATGTTCCATTCATCTGTGAAGAAAGTGGGGGGAGCAAAATGCGAAAAGCTGGAATAGCAGAATATGGAATATATAGGAGTTTTTCCTCCTATATGGTGCATATAGGAACGGGGACAAAAGCTGGATAGGACTGGGAAAGATGCTACAAGCTGGGGAAATTTCCCCAGCGTTCCAAATTGGAACGATTGACAGCAAATTGGATTGATAGACAGCACTCTGTTGCTACTCTTGTCTATGTACAGGGGTTGGGGGAGGGTTATAGATTTTTGTTGTTGTTTTAGATTCAGCTACTGGGAGCAAAAAGTTCCAAGTAGCACGGGCTACGGTGAGCCCGTAATGGACTTACATGGCACAGGAGCTGAGCTATATATGCGGTCTGTCTTCGACCTAGTATCCTTATCTCTTAGAATAGTTAGCTATACGTGAAATGTGTGTGTCGTCTGTTCGCCTATATATATATATATATATATATATATATATATATATATATATATATATATATATATATATATATATATATATATATGTGTGTGTGTGTATGTGTGTGTGTATGTGTGTGTGTGTGTGTGTGTGTGTGTGTGTGTGTGTGTGTGTGTGTGTGTGTGTGTGTGTGTGTGTGTGTGGAGAGAACCACAAGCCAAGAAGAGAGAGAACCACAGGTCAGGGAGAGAACCAGTGGCCATGAGAGCACCATTCAGAAAGGGAGAATAACAAAAGTTCCATGAACAGTTACGGGTCAAATAAACATAAACAAAGAACATAAGAACACGGTGAGGGTGCCACGTATCAACAATTAACTGGAGAGAGAGAGAGAGAGAGAGAGAGAGAGAGAGAGAGAGAGAGAGAGAGAGAGAGAGAGAGAGAGAGAGAGAGAGAGAGACGGAGAGACGGACGGACGATTAAGGCAGGAAACAGAACACAAATATTGGGTACCAAGCCTTTATAGGGGAACTCACCCAGGGTAGCCAGCAGATTCTTGTAGGTGACCCAGAGACCGTAGTCGGAGGCCTGCCAGCCGAGCACCTGCCTCGTGAACAGGTACATGTAGGCTCCTGCAGAGGAGAAAAACACCTCATGTTATTATAGTCTTATCGGGGAGAAAAATTAAGTTCGGAGTGACAAATTACGCTTGCAGAGTTGTGGAACACATTACAGGTTACTTAATGTGTGTGGAATATCTTGATGGTTTCTAGCCTTTGGTTTGGTATATACGAGTATTAGTGATATCAATAGGAGCTGCCTCGTATGGACCACAATAGACCTTTTGCAGTTTCCTTAATATTGATGTTCTTCACCATATAACGTGTTTAGTACATATATATACTGACTCTGAGATCCCCATCCCCCCATACACATCTATTATCTCTCGTCTTATTTTATATAACTTTAACAATTTTAAGCAACTTTTCTTGTAGATATTTCCTATTCTTCTCAGTATTTTTAATGTAGCGATCATATCCACTCTCTTCCTTCTCTCCTCCAGAGTTTCAGGACGGTGTTACATATATCATTGGCCTCACATAGACTGTATAGATTGTCTTGAAAGAGTCGTTAATTACGTTTTATATATGTAGTTCTGATGTCCGCTGGCTTCCCATGTGCTCCCGATGTTTTCTGTTTATATGTTCCTTTTATCTCACAGTGTAGTCTTCTGCTTTTTAACCTCATCTTCCCATATATATATATTACATTGCACTGGACGGGGGTTGAATTCTTTCCTGCCCACTGCTGGAGTTTGCCAAGGTCTTGGGATCACGTCCTTGTAGCTCCACACCACCCGGCATCCAGGGGACCATGGCACGTACACACGCCCCCACGAACAAAAAGTTGCTGGGAGCAGCCGGAGCCACTCCCGGCCCTATGTAGTAGCTCGGTGAACCGCCATGACCTCCAACGGCGCTGCTAACGCCCCACTGAACGCGGTCTGGGTTACTCCACAGTTTCAACCCGATCGAGGTATTCATAGAAGCCTTATCACGGTCAGCAGGGTATCATCGGGTAGCCAGAGTCCCACTCCCACAGCCCCTATCTCAAGAGTCGTGATACGCGAGGCCTCGTAGCTCTTCCGTTGCAAAAACGCTTCCCTGATATGAAAATTTGCCTCATCTGCTAGCTCATCTGCCTGTTTTATTTAGGATTACTGGGTAGAACCTTAATTTAGAGGCATGCTCGAATTGGACAGTTCTTAATAGCCAGTTGGGCAGCTCTCTGTGGCCTGGTGGGCAGTTCTTTGTGCCAGTTGGGCAGCCCTTTGTGTCCTGCTGGACAGCCTGGTGGGCAAGCGGTAAGACACATAGGAGAGATTCTCAGTTTACATATTTAGGTTCAGAGCGCGGTGCGCGTCGACGCACTGCGCACTCTGTGAACGCATTAAATCTTTTAAGAGTATTTGTTATACCTTAGACAAATGTATGGTCATACTGTATTGCATGACCCTCTGCAGTGCGATAATAACCTCCACATCCTCCATCAACCCCCTCCAAGTCCTCCATGATTCCCTCCACATCCTCCATCAACCCCTCCACATCCTCCATCAACCCCTCCACATCCTCCATAAACCCCTCCACATCCTCCATGAATCCCTCCACATCCTCCATAAACCCCTCCACATCCTCCATGAATCCCTGATCATCTGCAGTGAGACACGAGTCACTGTTTGGCTGCTCCGGGATGTATTACGTCGTCTCTCCCATTAACGACAAACATTACAACACATTTTACAACTTCATTCTCAGTATGAGGAGCTCACTGAGAATTATAAACACCAGGAAGCACCATCGTCACTATTAACAACAGTGTAGTTATGGGCCTCCATAACTGCATCAGAGATGGTATCTCTGTACATATTATATATTATATGTTTTTTTATATATATAAAATATATTATATCCTAATATATACACTCACTGCGTATCCTTACGGCTTCCCCGAACGAGCCGGACCGTCCAAGTCACGAGAGACAAGGAGAGAAAAATCATACTGCGGTTTCACTGGATAAAAATGTCGTTTACATGGAAATCTGAAACCATCAAGAGGAAAAGGTTCTCTCTCCGATTTCTGGCTTCATGCGGGACGAGAGCGAAGAGTGGTGAAGGAGGGATGGGGGGGGGGGGTATGGTAGTGTGTTTGGGGGGTTCTGGGAGAATGGGTTGTAAGGAGAAGGGGGAGGAGGTGGGTTTTTTTCGGGGTTTTGGGAGGATGTCCGTGTCTCAAGGTGATGGGGGGAAGGAGTGCCGTGTGATTCTGGGAGGAGGAGGAGGAGGTTGTAAGGGAAGAGGAATGCCTTAAGGCGGTAGATCCTTAGAAGTTCTTGGTGTAGAGCGGATGTCATAGCATGGTTGGAGAAGAGTTGTTGTGCCTTCGGGTGTTTTATTTTTTTTTTTAATTTTGCCCCGAGGGGGTCAGTTTATTAGGCAGCGCCACTCATCCTGTGAGCGGTCATACCGCCATAGCAGCCATGTATAACACTCCCCAATAGGAAGAAAACCCGCTGGGTTGTTCATCGGGTGATGTTTGAGGGGGTTGTTCGTGGGGGTGGAGGTTGAGTGGGGGGGGGGGTTGGCTGTGTAACTTGTTGTGGTGGCTGTGTAACTTGTTGTGGTGGCTGTGTAACTTGTTGTGGTGGCTGTATAACTTGCTGTGGTGGCTGTGTAACTTGTTGTGGTGGCTGTGTAACTTGCTGTGGTGGCTGTGTAACTTGTTGTGGTGGCTGTATAACTTGTTGTGGTGGCTGTATAACTTGTTGTGGTGGCTGTATAACTTGCTGTGGTGGCTGTGTAACTTGCTGTGGTGTCTGTGTAACTTGTTGTGGTGGCTGTGTAACTTGCTGTGGTGTCTGTGTAACTTGCTGTGGTGGCTGTGTAACTTGCTGTGGTGTCTGTGTAACTTGTTGTGGTGGCTGTGTAACTTGCTGTGGTGGCTGTGTAATTTGCTGTGGTGGCTGTATAACTTGCTGTGGTGGCTGTATAACTTGTTGTGGTGGCTGTGTAACTTGCTGTGGTGGCTGTATAACTTGCTGTGGTGTCTGTGTAACTTGTTGTGGTGGCTGTATAACTTGCTGTGGTGGCTGTGTAACTTGTTGTGGTGGCTGTGTAACTTGCTGTGGTGTCTGTGTAACTTGTTGTGGTGGCTGTATAACTTGCTGTGGTGGCTGTGTAACTTGTTGTGGTGGCTGTGTAACTTGCTGTGGTGTCTGTGTAACTTGCTGTGGTGGCTGTGTAACTTGTTGTGGTGTCTGTGTAACTTGTTGTGGTGTCTTTGTAACTTGCTGTGGTGTCTGTGTAACTTGCTGTGGTGTCTGTGTAACTTGCTGTGGTGGCTGTGTAACTTGCTGTGGTGGCTGTGTAACTTGCTGTGGTGTCTGTGTAACTTGCTGTGGTGGCTGTGTAACTTGCTGTGGTGGCTGTGTAACTTTCTGTGGTGTCTATGTAACTTGCTGTGGTGGCTGTGTAACTTTGTGCGCTTGTGTATCTTGGCTTCTTCTTCCATGAGCAACACATTTTCTTAGACGGTTTAATTTTTCATCCTGTCACCTGTACCCAGACGCAGCTGGAACTTACTTAACTGTCTCAAGTGAAGAGACTATCAAACAAAGTGTTAACACCTTAATTGCAACCCCTCAAGTTTACGTTATCTTGTGAGAGTAAAGTGGGAGTGGAGGGCGGGGGGGGGAGGGGAACCTTTGTGAACAGCATCTATATTGGACAAAAAGTGCATTCCTAACTCAAACAATGTGGGGTTTATTATATGTCTAAAGTCTCTTAGATGGGAACACTGTCCTTCATTTATGCTGCAAATCTGACAACCTCGCCTTTTAGGCGTTGTTTCCATCTAGAATCTTCATGTAAACTTGTATACAAGACGAAATTTTCCAGTTAAGAAATTGTATTCGTTCGGTCGACCACCTTTTCGGCCATAGAGTGATTAAGGTTGTCGTCTGCAACTGAACTGTATCAGTGTATAGTTTCACTGACTTGCTCTTCTGTCTTCCTTTTCTCGGCTGCCTTGTCATGGTGATGTTGTGTGATGGTGCTCCTGATTTGTAAAAGAAGTCTCGGAGATGAAGTATTTAATATGATTTCCTTCAGCACCTTTACAGCCAGCACATGATCTGCTCGTTCGTGTCCACAGATGAGAGGGGAATCCACAGGAACTTGACTCTCCTTCCTGCACTTGGATTGTGTGGTAAAGCGACGGTCTCACTTCTTGCAGGTCAGCGTTCAATCCCCCGACAGTCCAAGTGGTTGGTTCTTTTTCTCTCTTCACCCCCTCTTACTTCTCCTCACCCAATCTCTTCCTCTCACCCCCTAATCCCACGTCACCCCCGTCTCATCCCCTCGTCCTATCACTTCCCTGCATCTTCCCTCACCCATCTACTTAGTTTATCATGCAGTAGTTTGTATTCTACTCATCGGTGTTGACGTGTTACATTTATCAATTTGCTGAACTCTTTCCCCCCTCCCATCCCCCCCCCTCCCTAGCAAGTCATTCATCTACCTCAAGACTTATTTGAGACATAGTATTGTACTGTCTTCTGCCAGGTTCCACTTGTTACATTAGTACGGAAACCTTGAGGAGAGAGCACTAAGCCAGTATGACTGTACAGCTCACTTGTTACATTAGTGCACCCTGAAGACTCGTCCTTTATCACATCTCCATTTTCTATATTTGCCTCTAGCGGGGCACCATATCAAAGCTGCAATCTGCAGCTTAGGAATATCCCGTTTGCTCGCCCATTTTCTCTTGTCTGATTACCGTTAGCTTGTCAGGGGAGCCTTTGAGGCGAAATATGTAATGATTCAGCCTCTTTCTTTCTCTGTTCCTGTCTCTCGTATTAGATTTTGTTTAACTGCGAGTATCTTTTTGAATCTCGTGCTCCACTTGAGCACCTTCCATTGGTGTTCAAGTGGAGCACGATTGAAGGTGTTCCACCCATGGAACACCTTCCATGGGTGTTCAAGTCTCTCTCTTCAGCCTTACCAGATATTGTATTGTCGTTTACCTTCTGATTTATCTGTTGACAATCTTCTATGTGAGAATTCATACAAAATAG